ATGCAGTGATTGTAAGCTCCTAGCAGCGTCCAGTAGCCGTTGGAAAGTCTAGCAGCTCCGACGTTCTTCTGGCGTAGAGGGCAAGAAGTTCACCCGGCGTGAGCCATTTTAGCAACGGGTCTTCTGTAGAGCCGTTTATACCAGTGCCTATGAGCGTGCGCCTGAGTCTGTATCTCGCCGACCGCAAAGCGAAAAAGCCTAACTCTGTGCATGGCTCACTCTGGCGCTCGCTCGTTTGTTGCCCCAAAGGGCGTCTTGGTGTTACTATGGTTCCAGGAACCCTGTAGCTGTATCGGTGAACTTGCAGTGCTGACGACCCATGGTGCCTCGGCTCGCTGATTAGTACTGTATCCAATTTACGGCGCCAAAATTTCATCAGTTTTCTTGAAATTGTTAACTTTCGTTTCAAAGCATAGTTACTAGGTACCAAAGTAAGTCTTCCTCAAATTGACGGCCTCAGCTGGGCACCATGGAGTGGACGCTTGGCTACGATTATGTGAGCATTATGCATTTTTGTGTGACTGTGGCCTTTCCGAAGAGACGAGATTTTCAGCATTACAAGGCCAAGGGCACTGCAGCTCCTCTCTTGAACGAGAAGAGGGCAAAAAACATTTTAAGTCCGTCTATGCAACTTGGCTGCCCCGGAACGCTCCTGGTTGAGGTCTCGATCCTGTGTGGTAGGGTTTTCATCGGAATGGAGTCTTTTTTTGTCAGAAAAAAACGCGCTTGTCGCTTGTTGTTCGTCTTCTCCGCAGTAGCGCTTCTTATTCCTTGCTTTGCTGTTTGAAAGGCTCTCCAGTCACCATTCCTTTACCGTGTTTCCTTTTGTAATGTAAGCCATAAGCTAAAAAGCGTGAAATTGTAAACGAAGCGCATATGCCTAAGTATCAATCACTTGAATTAATTGGAAAATATGTTGAATCGATTATGATCACAAAGTAAAAGTAAAGCACAAATACTTGTGCCCTGATTTAATACTTTGCGAAATAATACAGTTTGAAATGTTTAAATAATGCATCATCCATCCAATGCAAGTTATGGTAAATTTTAGCAGATCGATCGCGCGGACAACAAACAAAGGATCCTACTGATAAATTTTCGGCCCCATTCTGCATTTATCGGATTTCGTGTCCAATCCAGATTCATGTTATCTATGTATATATATATATATATATATATATATATATATATATATATATATATATATATATATATATATATATATATATAATGTGGATTACAGGAGGTCGAGGGAGAAACGCTGGATGGGGCTGCTAGGTACCGACAGAGACGGGGGACTAAACGTGCGTTCGACCTAAAGGGCGGAAAGAGGGTGAGAGTGAATGAATCCATGAATGAATAAATGAATGGAGTATGAGATCCTCTCACCCTCTTTATGATTCGGCGCTATGGTGTCTGTGATGTCACGCATGTCTTTGTTTTGAGATTTAATTAGAGGCAATTAGTGCCTATTATAATCACGTGCGGTCCGACATGATTGTTATTTTTGTCTTGCATTTGTGGCTTTTGCGGCGAAAGCGTTGGCCATATCACACTGATGAAACCTTGACAATAAAGGTGAAACGTCTGAGTTAAATGTTATTTAAATGGCCTAAAGTGATACGTTATTTATTTGATTTATGCCGAATTTAAGTTCACAATGCAAGACATAAATGATACTCGTGAACTAAGGAGATTGCTGACTCCTGGAGACCTAGAAGAACGGTTTCTGGAGGCAGCAGCTGTGAACACCGAACAAGGCATTGAAACCTGTGCCTTGTTATGTGGGGACGTCAACAGTGAACTGGTAACTGTGACCCATCTGGTTGTTCCAAAACAAACAGGCACGCACAACACGGTAGAGATGACAAGTGACGCCAGCCACGATACGTTTTTGATTGAGGGTGGGCTGAAGGTTCTCGGGTGGATCCATACGCACCCGACTCAAACCGCCTTCCTCAGCAGTGTGGATCTCCACACGCAGCTTAGCTACCAGATGCTTCTACCAGAGGCGGTAGCGGTTGTCTGTGCCCCACTCTACGGGGTGAACAAGTGGCTCCGACTGACCCCTGAAGGTATGAAGCTGGTCGAAGGTTGCACTTTCAGGGGCTTCCACGAGCACGCCTCAAAACGACGGCTGTTTACCCAAGCACTCGGAATAGAGTACGTGCAAACAAAAACGACCGTGGTTGACTTGCGTCAAGTCACAGACGCAGCCACCCTGATGCCCTCTGGGCCCAACGACAGCCCGGCGGACCGGCCCAAGCCCACGCCCACCGACAAGGTGCAGCTGCCGTCAACCACCAGCCACCCGAATCGACAGGCAGACGGGCCTCTAGGTGGGCAAACCGAGCACACATCAGGTTCTGGGAACGGCGACACAGAGAAGGTTCCCACTAGCCGCTTAAGGAGACTTGCGGTAAAGGCAGAGCGATACAAATCGCATGCTTCTTTCCTGAGAACATGCATTGAAGAAAGCCTAATCCCCAACGGCTTCCAACTGAAGTGGACCTGCCACTTTGGTGAGAGCCCCAAGATAGAGGAGATCCTCCAAAACGCCTCGACAGAACTGGTCAAGATGGAAGCTGATCTGGCGACGGAGAAAGTGGCTGCCCTCCAGGTCGAGATCGATCACCTACAGGAGTTGGTGCAGAGCAAGCTGCCAGAAGACAGCAGACCAGCGCTCCGATCCGTCATGGAGAAAGATCGGACAGAAACAGCACGCAAGATGTCAACGGTCAAAGAGAAGAAGCTTCGACGTCTGCAAGATAAGAGGCCATCACGAGAAGAAGCGACAGCACACCCCAGTGTCGAAGCGGAAGAGAACGTGCCAGAGACCCACGCCAACACACGAGGCAAGTCATCTGGGATCTTCAACTTATCGAGCAGAGAGTTGACGGCTGCCGAGGAGTCTGTGCTGAAGAAGGGGCTTAATTTTGTCCCATCACGGAAGCAACCTCTGGCTCTGGTGATATCGGAGCTCAAAGAGTGGGAGCGCCTGATGCGGCTGCAGGAGTACTGGGCATCGAACGTCTCATCCTCAGAGACTACTGAAGACCCAGACCTGCGGTATAAGACGTCCAAGTGGACCCCGCCACGAGGTCGGGATCCCTGCTTAGACCTGTACATTGAAGAGGTCACCAGGGACATCATCACATCCATCAGGAGGACGGGAACCACTAACATGACCAAGGAGGAAGAGGAGGCCCTGCAAACGCTGATGAAGGATGAAGAAGTGGTTATACGGCCGGCTGACAAGGGGTCAGGCATTGTCCTCATGGACAAATCTGACTACTTCGAAAGGCTGGGGAAGGAGCTGACGGACACCTCCACCTACAAGCCTGTGAAAAAAGACATGACAGGTCATATAAACAGGCAGGTCAAGGACATCACCAACAGAATGTATCGGAAGGGCTACATAGGCAAGAACCAGCTGAAGTACCTGATACCGGACCGCCCGAGACCTGGTCAGATGCAGGGGAACCCTAAAGTGCATAAGGAAGGGAACCCTCTGCGACTCATCGTGGACGGCAGGAACCATGCTACGGAGCGGCTCGCAGAGATGGCAGAGCAGGAGCTGCAACAGCACGTGGAGGGTCTAGACTCTTACGTCAGAGACACCGGTGACTTCCTGCAGAAGCTGAAGCAACTGCCACAACCAGTGACTAGTGAGGGGACGGGGAGGGACACAACCCCTGCTTTTTTGCATGGATGTACGGAAACTGTACCCCAGTGTACCGAGAAGGGAAGGGATGGAGGCGTGCAGGGCAGCTCTTGACGGTCGGTCGAGCAGGTCAGTTCCCACCGATGAGGTCCTGAAAATGATTGAGCTGGTGTTAGAAGGCAATAACTTCAACCTAGATGCGGATAGGCAGTTCGTCCAGTTAGAAGGCACGGCTATCGGGTCACGTCTGGGATGCAATTACGCCATATCTGGGGGAATGGGAGAAAGAACTCATCAAATCATCTGATAAGAAACCGCATTTGTATCTCAGATACATAGACGACATTTTTGGCATATGGGTAGACGGAGAAAACGCACTTTGAGAATTTCACGCAAAAGCAAACGCTATCCACCATCAAATCCAGGTGGATCTCCGCATGTCTCCCGTTTCCATTGATTTTTTAGACGTGACAGTGCACGTGAAAGACGGGAAACTTGAAACTGACCTTTTCACTAAGCCTACCGACTCAAAATCATATCTACGCTTTGACTCGGACCACCCTCATCACACCAAAACGGCGATCCCCTTTGGTCTAGGAATGCGGCTAAAAAGAATTTGTTCCAGGGGAGGAGACTATGCTAGGCACAAGAAAGAGCTCAGGGCTAGGTTGGTAGATAGGGGGTATCCGGGACATTTGATAGATAGAGAACTAGGCAAGCTGGAAAATCAGGATAGGGATGGGGCCAAGGGGAGAGGGAAGGAGAGCTCAGACAAGGGAAAAGATAACAGAGTCCCTCTGGTGCTAACGTACTCTAGTCATCTCCCGGATGTGCGCAAAATTCTACAGAGAAAGAGACACATATTACAGAACTCTGAAAATCTTAGGAACATATTCACCAAGGACCCTCTAGTGGCTTTTCGGCGGGGTCGAAATCTCAGAGACGATCTGGTTCACAGGAAAACCAAGCGGGCTGTTTATGGGGAGAAACTGCGCGGTCAGGAAAGCTGTGAGAAAGATTGTTTCATGTGTAAACGGATGTATTCTGGCAATGGTAGAGTAAAGGGCAACCCCAAAGAGTGCTTTTATGATAGGACAATAGGATGCAGATCGCAAAATGTCGTCTATGGGATCTGGTGTGACGCGTGCAAAAGGGTTGTGTATGTCGGTGAGACCGGGGATAGCGTCTACACACGCGTGCAGAACCACCTCTCGTCTATCCGCGTGGAGAACCCGGCGATCGACCTACCTGTTAGTAGGCATTTTAGAGCGACAGGCCACTCCTTGGACCACCTAAAAGTGGTCGGACTCGAACGAGTGTGGAGGAGGAATGTGGATTACAGGAGGTCGAGGGAGAACCGCTGGATGGGGCTGCTAGGTACCGACAGAGACGGGGGACTAAACGTGCGTTCGACCTAAAGGGCGGAAAGAGGGTGAGAGTGAATGAATCCATGAATGAATAAATGAATGGAGTATGAGATCCTCTCACCCTCTTTATGATTCGGCGCTATGGTGTCTGTGATGTCACGCATGTCTTTGTTTTGAGATTTAATTAGAGGCAATTAGTGCCTATTATAATCACGTGCGGTCCGACATGATAGTTATTTTTGTCTTGCATTTGTGGCTTTTGCGGCGAAAGCGTTGGCCATATCACACTGATGAAACCTTGACAATAAAGGTGAAACGTCTGAGTTAAATGTTATTTAAATGGCCTAAAGTGATACGTTATATATATATATATGTATATGTTACAGGCAAAGTGAAAAACCAGGCATTTTGCAAAATGCCTGGGCAATTTGCAAAATGACTGACTCGCCAGGCATTTGCAAAATGCCTGGGCAGTTTGCAAAGTGCCTGGCCCACCAGGCATTTTGCAAACTGCCTGAAATTATTTTCCCAGGCAGTTTGCAAAATGCCTGACATCGAACTCACCAGCGACGATGCGTAAGCATATTGTAAGTGCCGCCTACAGAGGTTAATCACAAGCGATGCACACCAAGTGGGAGGACACACAGTGAGACATTCTCCGGGTAGCGCTGCCGAGTTCAAGGTCACTGAGCAACAGGCAGCGGCCCGGCCTCCGCGCCGGCTGCCGGGCGCCCGGCGCGGTTTTATCGGGAAACACGCGTTAAACACGGTACAATGTTTCTAAGAGCCTTGATGACTTTTTGAAAATACTTTGGGTTGATATTAATAAAAAAGAATGTGCTTCCAATGCATGGTAGATTGATTGGCGGGCCACACGTCTGCATTATCAATGCATAATGACCGTGTAATGATGGACATGCCCATTGCATGTAAAACTTGTAATATGTAAGCGTCTTTTATTATAAAGGTGTGCACGTGGATCGTGGACGACCAAAAACTTCATTTCTTGAAAAGTCACATGCTCTTGGAATGTCCATGGAATGCATTTCATCTCATTACATTACAATGCATTGTTTTTAAATGACAATGCTTTTCCTGAAATGTACCAAAAATTGCCGATTTCTCAAGATATAGAGACTATTTCTTTCCACGTGACACGTGATTAACAAAAATGCTTATTGGATACGCTTATCTCTGTTCTATCGATCGGTGGCAACCCCGTGTCGCTGCAGCCCTCCGTTGCCGTGATGTCAGCACGGGAAGCGAGGAATGTCGGGTCAATATTCGGTCGGTCGCCGTTTTTCTGCGCCCATGTTTCTCTGTGCCCTGTTCCGCGCCCCATCGCAGCATTCATACACACGGCTACAACTCCGTATACGAAAGATAGGGAGACGTTGGCTCAATCTGCGCAGTCCATTCGGTACTAACTCCATCTCGACGGAAGTGGCGCAAGACGTGGGTATATTCGTAAATACTGAATGTGTTTGGGGCTCAGGCACATGGGAACGTTTGTGGTCAACGCCTGCAGTCAACAAAAACGGTAAAACAAAATAATCAAAACTCGGGCGTTTTGCAAAATGCCTGACCCGCCAGGCATTTTGGAAACTGCCTAGGCAATTTGCAAAATGCCTGATGGGTCAGGCAGTTTGCAAACTGCCTAGGCATTTTGCAAATTGCCTGGGCATTTTGCAAAATGCCCGAGTTTTCACTTTGCCTGTAACATATATATATATATATATATATATATATATATATATATATATATATATATATATATATATATATATATATATATATATATATATATATATATATATATATATTGTTACAGCACAGATCAATGCTCAAACTTGTCTTTCTTCAGCGCTGTATTTCTATACGTAATTCTGAAAACATATATGCGAAATCAAAAACCCTAAATAAGAATAGCAATCGTTTGTGACAACATATGGCGATAACTTAAGCATAATGTGTCCAGTAACATTGCATTAATATTCAAATTTCAATTCCTTACATTATAGTGGGCGCCTTGTCCACATTATCATGGCAGAATGGCGTCGTTTCGCCACGCAGGACACGCCACGCAAGCGTTTGTAGCGGCTGCGCCAAGCTCGGGACGCCTTCGGCGGGAGACGAGGCCAGTAAATAAATGGCCGCGGCGACAGTGCCTGTGCTTCCCTCTAGTCAACGGCACATGCCTGTTACATGCCTCCCTTAAATTGGTACAATTTACCAATAACACTCCTCGTAGACACGCATCACCTCGTAGCACTAGCACCGCCAGTCTCGATACAGCTGAAGCGTCCCTCTACGGGAGGAGTCGCACCAGCCTATGGATTGGCCGGTCGTACGACCCTTTCTTCGTACGTACGGTGACTCGCCGCACCAGTTGGTCCTTTGCTGGGTGAACCTGCGCGACACGCCCCAGCATCCAATGGCAGCGGGGCGTCTCGTCGTCAACGATGAGCACGATGTCATCTTCCTCGATGTTCGTGCGTTTCGTCGTCCACTTCTTCCTCTCTTGGAGATTGGGGAGGAAGTCGGACCGCCAGCGCCGCCAGAACTCGTTCGCAAGGCGCTGCACCCGGCGCCACCGGCGACGGCAGTAGAGATCGCCTCTCTGGAATACGCCAGGCGGAGACAAAACTACACTACTTTTCTGAGTTAGTAGGTTAGTGGGAGAGAGTGGCTGAGGGTCATCAGGACTCATGTCGAAGGAGGTGAGTGGCCTGCTGTTCACAATCGCTTCGACTTCACACAGAAGTGTCCGAAGCAGCTCATCATCAAGCCGAGCGTCACTCTGTCGGAGGAGTCCGTCCAGCACACTTCTGGCGGAACGAATCATCCGTTCCCATACACCTCCCATATGGCTCGAGAATGGGAAGTTCATCTCCATGGTCACCCAGTCACAATCCTCTTTCAACAGTTCTCTGCGGACTTTGTCAGAGTCCATCTCTTCCAGGGCTTCCTCCAGAGCTCTCTTGCCACCGACAAAGTTGGTACCTCTGTCACACCTCAGGACTCTCACAGGGCCTCTGCGGCAGACGAAACGGGGTTACGCATTGAGGAATGCGTCAGTCGAGAGTGAGGAGGCCGTCTCGATGTGTACTGCTCTGCAATTCAAGCACGTAAACAATACTCCCCATCTCTTACTCTGGCTTCTGCGCTCGTGTACGTAGAACGGACCGAACAGATCCACACCTGAGAATGTGAACGGTGGTGCTGCTTCCAGACGGTCGGCGGGCAAATCAGCCATCTTCTGCTGTTGGGTTTTACCCCGGAGCTTCTTGCAGGTCACGCACTGGAGGATCAGGCGTGCTACTGCGCGCCTACCACCAACGACCCAGAAACCAGACGATCGCACACGGGCGAGCGTCAGACCGCGTCCGGCATGTCCAACCTTTTCGTGACAGTCTCTGACGATGAGTGTCGTCACATGGCTCTTGTTCGGCAGGATCACAGGGTGTACTTCTCTTTCTGGGAAGCTGCCTCTTCTGAGCCTTCCGCCCACGCAGACCAATCCGTCCTTCACGATTGGATCCAGTCTGGAAAGTTTCTTGAGCTTGCCTCCCGTTCCTGCTGGTTCGACAGGCATGCCATCCAGTTCCTTCTGCTGCAGCGCTCTCAGGATGAGGGTCTCGGCTGCAGTCACATCGGCGACTGTGATCTCACCAGTTGAGCTGTCATCTTGCTGCACGATGCCTTTCTTCACGAGCACGCGATGGAGAAGCTTCTTCGTGTACCAGATACACCTTGCCACCGCTTGCTTCGCTCGTCTCCAATCAGAGAAGTACTCCAGCCTCTCATGAAGATCTGCCCTGCTCACCTCTGTGCTTGCAGCGCTGCTGAAGACCGCAACTGATCGTTTGACCTCGGGGTCGTCGTCTCGGAGCTCATACTGGCCTTCGGACGATGGGAGAGCTCCTCTGACTAATGCCCTCGGGCCCTGCCACCAGAGTTCGTTGCCTACAAGCTCCTCAGCATCCACTCCGCGAGAGGCGAGATCAGCAGGATTATCATCAGTCGCAATGTGCCTCCACTGACTTCGTTCAGTGTGGTTTCGAATTTCTTGCACGCGGTTTGCCACGTAGACATGAAACCGCCTTGCTTCGTTTGCAATGTAGCCGAGCACTACCATGCTGTCAGTCCAGAAGACCTCCTTCACACTCTGCAGCTTCAGCTCCTCCTGAAGAAATCGACTGATTCTCACCGACAGCACGGCGGCTGTGAGCTCCAATCTTGGCACAGTTATCGGTTTGATCGGTGCCACACGCGACTTGCTGACAATCAAAGAACAGCTCACTGTTCCATCACTGGCCACTGTTCTCAGATAGCTACACTGTCCGTAGCCTACTGAGCTGGCATCTGAGAAATGATGCAATTCGACTGTCATGTCGTCCCTCAGACCTTCATGAACGTAGCATCGTGGCACGCTAACATTCTCCAAGGCCAGCATACTTCTCATCCATTCCTTCCAAGCCTTGACTATGACTTCTGGTACAGGTTCGTCCCATCCGAAGTTCCCCCGACACAGGTCCCTCAGTAGTAGTTTACCCTTGAGAACGAACGGAGAGACCAGGCCCAGTGGGTCAAACACTGAGCTGACCACCGACAGGATGCCGCGCCTGTTCACCTGCTTGTCACGCGGTCTCACTTCGATGGAGAGCGTGTCGGTTTCAACATTCCATTGAACTCCCAGCGTCCGTTGAACCGGGAGGTCGCCTGTTCCTACATCAAGGCTCTGTAGGCCGACACAGCGACTGTCCATCGGTACAGATCTGACCACGTCGATACTGTTTGACAAGATCTTGTGAACCTTAAATCCTTTTCGCTCACATAGTGCTCTTGTTGCAGCTATCAAGCCGATGCCCGACTCAACGTCTTGGACGGAGGTGAGTCCATCGTCTATATAAAAGTCGTTTCTTACGAACTCTGCAGCCTTCTCTTCGTCAGCTTGGTGGTCGTCGGCTGCAGCTCTCAGCGCAAACATTGCGCACGCCGGCGACGATGTTGCACCAAACAGGTGCGTCTTCATTCTGAACTCACCAGGTTCACATTCCATCTTGCCGTCCTTCCACCACAGAAACCTGAGAAGGTTCCGGTCTTCAGCAACAACGCCCACCTGGTTGAACATCCCTTCAAGATCGCAGGATATCACACACACACACACACACACGGAGTTTATTGACATAGTACATGAGGTACATCGAGTACGTATCATGGAGAGTTGGCGCAAAAGCCATGGGCTCATCTCGAGGCGCCAAATCTCGACCTCTTCACTATCCCCAGTATCACAACCACTACCGCCGCCGCCGTGTCTCGGATTGTCTCGCGCAGCCAGCCGCCCCCACGCGTGCCCAGCGACGGGCGCGGGCCCACCCGGCTCAGCGAACAGAATAGGTAATTTAGTATCCACCGGTAAATCTACCTGACTCTTGCAAAAATTTTTGGAAGTGCCAAGCCACCAGCCGACCGCCCCCGCCACCGAGTCCGCGGCCGTGCAGGAGGACTTCAAGTTGGTATGATTTGGGTTTTTGTTTAAGGTCAAAGTTAAGGATGCGACGCAGGTTGTTGTAGAGTATGTCTCTTTGTTGGTCGTAGTTTGGACATGAAAATATAAAGTGTGTTACGTTTTCTTGGGAATTGCCACATGAACATTTAGGATTATCTGTCTTTTGTATTTTGTACTTATGTTCGTTTAGTATCGTCATATTAAGTCGTATTCTTGTATGCATTGTGTTAAGTGTCGTGGTGCCGTATGAGTAGTAAAGAGGAGGTTTGTTCATGCACATGAGCTCTTTGATCTCATTTCTGAAGTCTTTGTAGGGAAGATGCTTAATTGAGTTTGGTAGTTGATTCCATTGTTTTCCTGTGAGTGTTATAAATGTGCGTTGGTGTTTGGTTGTGCGTACATGTGGCTGGGAATGGTGGGCGGCGTTCCTTAGCGTCCTTTGTGTGGCTTGATGTCGTGAATTTGGTAGAAGAGAGGTGACATAAGAGGGTAAATTTTGACGTCCGGGTGTTGATAGTTTGTGGTAAAGTAGTAGTCGGTGAAGTTGTCGTCTGGTTTTTAGTTTGTCCCATCCTAATTCATAACGTAATTTGTCAGAAGAGGTCCTGAAAAGTGCTCCTGTTATTAGTCTTGCTACCCTGTTTTGGAATGTCTCTAGTCTCATGGTGTCGTGAATAGTAATGTGTCCGTCGTAAATAGTGTCGCAGTAGTCTAGATGTGGTCGAATGTACGTCTTGTAGATTGCGTCGAGAGTGTTTCGGGGAAGGAATCGTGCTATGGGATATAATGGACTGAGGGATTTGTTAGCTTTTGTAAGGATGACGTTTATGTGTTCGTGGAATCTTAGGTCTTTAGAAAAGGTCAATCCAAGGTGCCTGTGTGTTTTTGTTATGGGTATTGGAAGTCCTCCGAAAGTGAGTTTTGGTGATGTATTGTTTGGTTTGTGGGAAAATGTTTGTTGTACTGTTTTGGAATCGTTGAATTTGATGGCCCATTCTTGTCCGTATTTTTTAATTTCGTCAAGGTCGAGTTGCAAAGAATTTTGAATGGAATTCAATGTTTTGCATGTATGGGAAGCGTAAAGTGATGTATCATCGGCGAAAAATAAAATGTCATTTTTTGTACGAGTTGAGAGGTCGTTGAGGTATAAAAGTGCAAGTAAAGGGCCGAGAACTGATCCCTGTGGGCAGCCAGCGTTTATCTTACGGGGAGCTGAGAACGAATTTTGAATTTTAACTATCTGTATTCTGTCGGATAGATATGATTTTAGCCAATTGAGAAGTGTTCCTGAAAGTCCAAATTCGTTTTCACATTTGTAAATTAACCCTTTGTGCCAAATTTTATCAAAGTATTTACTGATGTCCAAGTATATCGCTGTAAAATCTCCACCATCGTCTAAAGATTTATAGAGATTTTGTGTCAGATATTGAAGCTGTAATTCGGTGCTGTGACCTCCTCTGTAGCCGCTTTGTTTATCTGTTAATAGATTGTGATCAGTTAAATGTTTATATATATTTTTAAAGACTACTTTTTCGAATATTTTTGATACGACTGAAAGGATGCTGATTGGTCGGTAGTTTGAAATGTCTGATGGTGACCCTTTGTTCTTAAATATTGGTTTAATATGTGCTGTTTTAAACTCAGTTGGATACACTCCGAGAGAAAGTGATTTATTGAACAACTGTGATAGGGGTTTCGCGATAAGAATTGCCGTAAGTTTAAGAAATCGGGTCGGTAATCCATCTGGGCCTGTCGATTTATTTGCATCTAGTGAATTTAGGATTTGAAGTATTTCTTGTTCACTGGTTGTAAAGTTCTGTAGTAGTGGAATGTTTGCATTTGTCCTGTTCGTGTCTGGAAGTGGATGAGCGTCAGATACGTCTAAAGTTGATTGAGAAGCAAAGTAGTCGTTGAAAAGTGTCGCTTTTTCCATGTTGTCAGTAATCACGTTGTCGGTTTGTGTCAGCAGTGGTGGGATGTCTTTGTCAGTAGATCTGCCTATGACGGTACGTAATGTTTTATGATACTTGTACGGGTTTTGTCTTTGCTCGATCAGTTTTTCAACTTGATTCTTAATAAATTCGTTTTTAAGTTGTCTGCTCATTGTAGTGACTAAATTGCGCTGATATCGCCACCTCGTCCAGTTGAAGTCAGTTTGTGTTTGTTTTGCAAGCTTGAAGAGTCTGTCCCTTTTTCTAATGTTGCGTTTTAAGTTGCTTGTTATCCATGGCTTGTCTTTGCGCTTTTGTCTGATGACTATTTTTGGTATTGATCCTGTTGCCGCGTCTTGTAGTTTGGTAATGAATTGTGAGGTGGCTGTGTCAATGTCTTGTTCAATTATGTCATTCCAGTTAGTATCGGTAAGTGTCGTGGTCAAGAGGTCAATGTTTATTTTCCTATATTCCCAAATAACAATTGGTGGTTTCTCGACATTGTCGATTATTGTTGTGTCTAGTTCGGTGAAAATGGGGAAATGATCAAGGTTTGCAAATGATGACAGTGTGCCGCTGTTTTGAATTATGTCCGTGTTGCTTGTGAAGATTAGGTCTCTTAAATTTGCGATATCATACGTTACTCTGGTTGGCTCATCAATTAATTGGTTAAAGTTAAGCATGTCAGCTGTTTCCTTAATTTTGTAGTCAAATGAGGTTATGCCACTGTGCTGATTAAAGGACCTGTCAAGGTATATGTTTCCCGTGTTAAAGTCCCCCAGTGTTATAACGGCTGTCGGTGAGTGAGTTTGTGCTAAACAGGCTGCTTCGGTAAACGTGTCGATAAATGTGTGCAGTCGGTCCGATGGTAGGTGGGGTGGAAGGTAAATACAACCAATGATAAGTGTGAAGTTAGCGATCTTGATTTTTGCCCATACCCACTCTTGGTTCCCAATTTCAATATGTGTAAGTCTTTGAATTGGTAGTGATTTATGACAATAGAGGGCCACACCCCCTCCATGTCGCGTTCTGTTTTTTATTATAGGCGGGTGGAAGTCTTCCAACATGTATTGACTGTCTGCTATCGTATTATCAAGTTTCGTTTCAGTGAGCGCTAGGATATGCACGTTGTTTGTTTGTATAAATTGTTCCAATTCTTCTTTTTTATTTTCTACAGTAATGCTGTTTATGTTTATGTGCACAATTCTTAAATTTGTCCTATCAGTTGGCCCTGGGTTCGTTTCGATGCCGTGCATTGTCAAAAGTTTTTGAATGTTTAGGTAGAGCCCAAGCCGTGTCCATTGAGAGTTTGTCAAAGTCAGGTTTAAGGGTATGTCATGTCCGGTACAGTGTATGCTTGGAGATGTCGCAGATTGGATGGGATTAGTCGAGGCTCGGTGGGCTTGGATTAAGGTACTGGAAGTCCCTGCACGGGCCGCGGTCCCAGGCGGCGGCGGCGCCCGGACGGCGGCTGACACCTCGAAGATGGCCGAATGAAGTTGCTGTACCGGGCGAGCCCGCACCCCCAGCGGAGCCGCGGCGGAGGCGACGGCCGTCAGGTCGAGCATCAGCGAAGACGAACCACCGGCCACCGGCTGCTTGCGGAAGCGGCACAGAATCCCGGTGAGACTCCTCGTTAGGTCTGGGCCCTGTAGAAGACAGCTGTTCAGCGCATGACCCTCGTAAGCTGCACTGCAGTCGAAGACGACTCTTATCTTGTCTTTCTGTGGGTGGTAGATGCCGTGGTGAGGAATATACCACACTCTACCATCATTTACCTTCAGCTCTTCGTTGGGGACTTCTTCGGCATATCCCTTTGCCAGCGTTGCCTCCATGAATCCAACGTAGTCTCGACGATATGACTCATTTCTCACTAGTTTGGCCTTTAGTCCCTTCAGTCGTTGCATTGCCGCGGTTCTGTTGTTTGGTAGCCGTAGCTTCTCGTCCTTCAGAGGCAGTGGCATTTCCAGATGACCATCTTCTCGCTGTCGGATGCCAGCCGACATCTTCTTCAGGAACTGTTGGTCATCGACTGACAGTCCTGTTTTGCTGTCTTGTCTCGTTTCCTGGAAGTCTGACTCCAGTCTCTTCAACACGTCCAGTGGACTGACCTCCCGTACACGCGACTTGAAAGCGAAGTGGCATCTCTTCTTCTGCCCAGCTCCAGTATCCACCAGGTGGCAGACTTCACTGTCAGCATCCTCGACGTCGCCAACACAGCCGACGATGCCCCAGCCGAGGTGGGTTCGTACGGCCCATGGTGCTTCATCCTGTCCACAGACAACTTCAAGCGGCTTGATGACACGCGGACAATCCGTACCCAGTAACAGTGCCACTGGAGCGTCCTGAAAGAACGTTGGCATCTTGTCGGCGATTGCTTCCAAGTGCTTCCACTTCACAGCGGTGTCTTTCTTGGGGATGCTTTCCTCGGAGCACGGTATCTCCGGTCGAGAGTACGTTGTAGGCAGTTTGATGACGTCCTCTTCATTTAACGGTTGAATCACCAGACCTTCCACTGCCGTGCTCTCGATGATGGACTTGCCAGTCATGGTGCTTAACTCCAGCTTCGTGTTCCTTCCTTCAATGTTCAGAGTCTCACAGACAGACTGAGACACAAAACATGCATCTGACTGAGAATCAAGCAGGGCATATACCAGCAGCTGATGTTCAGAGTTACTCCTGTGACTCAGCAGTACAGGCAGAACGAGCGAGTGCGAGCAACCAGATCTCTCTGCACCGCCCACAGAGCCTGAACGGAGCGATGTAGCATGTGGTGCGCTGTCCACTCGTTGCTTGACTGCAGTCTCTGCCTGCATCTCCGAACCTGAGGACAAAGACTCGTCATGTAGAAGAGTGGGGTGCCACCTGCTGCAGACACCACACTTTTCTCTGGTGCGACATTCCTTCCACTTGTGGCCTCTCCTCAGACATCCTCTGCAAAGGCCCACCTGGTTGACCTTGCTGTTCCTGTTGGCCACAGTCATCTTCTTGAACACCTCACAGTCCTTGATGCTATGCTGCTTTTGACACAGCACACATGTTGTGACTCTTGAATTGTCACCTTGACCAGTGTGGGTCCTTCTCACTTCAGTTGACGACATGAATGTCCTGGCTTTGCCACGTGGCATCTTGTGTGCAGTAGCCTGCTTTTCTTCTTGAGTGGGGAGAGCGACTGGTCCACAGGCAATCCTCGCTTCGACTGCTACAAAGCGGACAAACTCGGAGAAGGGTGGATGCCTCCCTGTGGACTCTTCACCGTACAACCACTGGTCGACTGTTCTCTTCCACCTGTCCACCATGTACTTCGGCAGCTTCTGAACCAGCGTCTGCATTTCCAGATAGTCGTCCAGCACTCTCAGATGCTGTGACGACTCGGCTGCTGCAGCTTGGCAGTGCTTCAAGTAGTCCGAGAAGTCCCTCAGGGCTCGACCATCTCCACTCTTCACTGCTGGCCACTCTTTCAGCTTTACACGGTAGGCATGAGACACCACAAAGTCATTGCCATACCTGTCAATAAGTCTTTCCTTGGCTTGTTTGTAAGCTTCTTCAGTTCTCAGGTGAAGCCAACCCACAATGGCTGCTTTGGCTTCACCAGCTGTGTAACGACCCAGGAAGTGGAGTCGTTCAATGGGAGATCTTGTTTGGTGCTCAATGTAGGTCTCGAACGACTTGAGCCACATTGGAAATTTTTCAACATTTCCTTTGAAGACATCAGGTTCCATTGTTGGGAGCTTGCTGACAGCATTCCGCTCTGTGAGCGCATCAGTCAGTCGCTGCAGCAGCGTTTCAGTGTTGAACCTGTCTTCATCTTGGGTGTGGGCTCGAGTTCGAGCTTCCTCGTAACAAGCAGCAGTTGTGGTGTCCAGTTCTGGTCCGTCCTTGTTCTCTCGATGAGCTTCGGTTGTCTCATCCTTTCCACCCACAGCATCATCCACATCTCTCTTGGGTGCCTCTGACTCTGCATCTGGATCAAATCGGTCAATCACCTTCAGCTTTGCTTCATTGATCATCTGTTCAGTTTCTATTTCAAGCTGCTCTTGTTCCAGATCGAGCTGCTCTTGTTTTTCCTTCAGAAGAAGCTTCTTCTTGCTCATTGCAGCTTTTGCCTTCAATTCAGCTTTCTTCTGCTCCATTTCAAGCCGCATCAGAGTCAGATGTGCCTTCACTTCAGTGCTGGTGTCAGACACCTTGCTGGATCGTGGCACACCTGCAGCAGATCTGGAAGGCTGAACATCCAGGTCAGTGCCTTCCGCAGATTGAGTCAGATGGGACTCAAACTTGTTCTTCAGCTCGTTCACCTCAGACAGGTTGAGCACGTGCTTGTCCATGATGGATCTCTTCTCCTCATCTTCCAACAGCAAACACAAAACATCATACGTTTGGATGAGCTCCACATAGTCGTGTTTCCATTTGTCAAAATCTTTCAACGCCCTGCTCCTGTCCTCCTGTTCAATTGAATCAACAATGAGACTTCCAGTTGACTTCAACCTTTTCAACAGTTGTACATACAGCTTTCCCTTCTGAGATGCTTGGTAACTTCTACCCTTCTCAGTGACTCGGAGCTCTCGACCCCCACTGGACATTATCTTGTGCTCGTCACTCATTGTGGAATGAGGTTGAATTTTAGTGTGTGGGACTTATGGTAGGATAACTTGAGGAAATGTTAATAAAAGTCACAAACTACTTGATAAATAACTACAAAAAAAATAAAACAAATAAAATCAAACACAGTTCATTTAGGTACCACACGAACCTTCAGTTCGGGAATGAGCAGGGTCTCAATATGGAAATACCATAGGTGCTAACTACCTACCAGTATAACGCCTTTTGGGGCGACTAACGGAGCGAGCGAGAGGGTGGGCCTTGCACGTGCGAAATTGCGAGGGGGTACCTCCAACTGACTTGTGCACGGCACCCTACTAACTGGTCTCTAGCGATGTGCCAAATTTGGGCACAATCGGCCCAGCCGTTCTCGAGATCTGAAAGCGGCACCCTGCACGTGCGCACGTGCAAAATGGGTCCCAACTGACTTGTGCACGGCACCCTACTAACCGGTCCCTAACCGTGTACCAAATTTGAGCGCAATCGGTCCAGCCGTTCCCGAGATCTGGAAACGACCCCTGCACGTGCGCACGTGCAGCAGCACCCCAACTCTGGCACATGTATATGCAGTGCCTAGTGGGTGCCTACCTACATGCCAACTTTCAGCGCAATCGGCCAAGTAGTTACCGAGATATTGCAACAATAACAAAACTGACACCTCTTCGTTTTGCACGTGGCACGTGCATAAGGGGTCACCCACATGCATCGGGAATAGTCCAATACTTGGTAGAAGGAATGAAGCTACCCTACAAAAATTACCGCGTGTAAATCGGTCAAGTGGTTGCTGAGATATAAGCCTCGCAAAAGCGTGACCACGGCCGGCCGGCCGGCCGGCCGGCCGGCCGCTCATACTCAGAAATTTCCGTTAATCTAAGGAAAGACTACGCTCGCTTCGCTCGCTCCGTAACAAACTTAAACAACTATATACTGCCTGGATCAATATCTGTGCCCTATAATAATTACTGTTACAGCACAGATCAATACTCAAACTTGTCTTTCTTCCGCGCTGTATTTGTATACGTAATTCTGAAAACATATATGCGAAATCAAAAACCCTAAATAAGAATAGCAATCGTTTGTGACAACATATGGCGATAACTTAAGCATAATGTGTCCAGTAACATTGCATTAATATTCAAATTTCAATTCCTTACATTATAGTGGGCGCCTTGTTCACATTATCATGGCAGAATGGCGTCGTTTCACCACGCAGGACACGCCACGCAAGCGTTTGTAGCGGCTGCGCCAAGCTCGGGACGCCTTCGGCGGGAGACGAGGCCAGTAAATAAATGGCCGCGGCGACAGTGCCTGTGCTTCCCTCTAGTCAACGGCACATGCCTGTTACATATATATATATATATATATATATATATATATATATATATATATATATATATATATATATATATATATATATATATATATATATATATTTATATATATAGATGAACAGGGTAATTTTAAAGGGGGAAAGGGGGAATTTCCCCCTTTCAAATTTATTTTTGAGCCCATTTTCAATCAATTCGCTACTCAGATTGTATAATCATCGTTGATCAGACTCTACACTGAAAAAATATAAAACACTGGTCGGGTGTTTTATTAGTGTATTATGGGTGTTAAGCACCATTAATGGTGTATCATGACACTAATAGCAGTGTCATTACCCCGTTCAACACCGTTATTGGCGTAATGGCATTGCTTGAACACGGTTTAAGGTGTCACATGACACTTGAAATAACACACTTGGGGTGTAATCGAGGTGTCTCAACTCCCATCTAACACCTTTTTTGGTGTTACAGAGAAAACATAACACCCGTTAGGTGTACTGAGGGTGCCATGTCATCCCTTAAACACCGTTTAAGGTGTCACACGACACTTGAAAAGCACACTTGGGATGTACTCGAAGTGTCGTAGCTCCCATTCAACACTCCTTTTGGTGTCAAAGAGAAAACAAAACACCCTCTGGGTGTATTGAAAGTGTCATGTCATCACTTAAACACCGTTTAAGGTGTCACACGACACTTGAAAGAGCACACCTGGGATGTAATCGAGGTGTCGTAACTCCCATTCAACACTCATAGCAGTGTCATTACCCCGTTGAACACCGTTATTGGTGTAATGACATTGCTTGAACACCGTTTAAGGTGTCACATGACACTTGAAATAACACACTTGGGGTGTAATCGAGGTGTCTCAACTCCCATCCAACACCTTTTTTGGTGTTACAGAGAAAACATAACACCCGTTAGGTGTACTGAGTGTGCCATGTCATCCCTTAAACACCGTTTAAGGTGTCACACGACACTTGAAAAGCACACTTGGTGACTTGGGATGTACCCATTTTTTATAGTGGCATGGTGTTTCGGGGATGACTAACACCGTTCGTATTCTCTTGGTACTTCATGTAGTTATAAATGTTATTGTTTAGCTGGGACAGAGACATTCTAGCATAAAAATATTCAAATTACCAGCTTCGTTTATTAGTTACGGGAGCTTTCGAAAGACGTTCGTCTTTCTTCGTCAGCCTGTCTTTGCAGTGTCAGACACCCTTGAAATTCCCTATGGGTGCAGTTGGGTAGATGGCGCTGCTGTGCTGTATGGTGTACAGAGTTTGCATTTATATTCTAATGGATTTGCTTCAACTACATCAAATAAACAAATCCACGATAATAAATAAATAAATTCATATACAATACTTCAAAGAAAACGCGTCGGGAAAATATTGGGAACATAATGCAGCCCTAGTAGCCCATGTTCAACCGTTGGCTTCCATGCGGCCGGCCGCCATACTAGTTTGAAACGTGCGCGACTGCGGGCGGAGGCGCTGGTGGGATTACGGTGTGTTTGGAGTATAAGTGTGTGCAAGTGAGTTAGAAGTGATCGTGAGTGGTGTCTTGGTACTCGAAGAGCTCCAGTTTTAGCAAAGGTGAGCTATTCTTGGCTAGCAATGGCACTGCTGCGGATTCCGAAAGACATGGTTATACTGGCCGCTGGGGGGGGGGGGGGATGGCGGCATACTCCCGATAGGGGTTCTTTAATATCCGAAAAAATATATCCTCAGATTTTTTTCTCTTGTGTTGGTGTGCAATTTAACACGCACCCTGCTTGGGTATTTATCCGAATTCGTAACCCCACTGGAGAGGGGGAGGGGGTTGGATTCTGCTTATTTCTATTATGCTCCGCGTATCCGTGCTGCTAGACTGATTTGCGATGCAATGTGGTGGCATTTGTTCCCTGCAACCTACATTCTGTGTGTAATTTAATAACGCTGTATCATATAGGTATGCATACAACTTATTGATTCCCCCATTGGGTACAGGGTGTCAGGTGACAGGTACAAATGTATCACTGGTAGTTTAAATGAATTGTTGGTAATAACAAGGTTGAATAACACCAATGATGAAAGTGGGTGTTCAGTTTATCACACATGTGAGCGTCATTCCCTGCAATGTCAGTGTTTGTTATCAATTTTACACCGTTACGAGTGTTACTAGGGTGTCTTAACAGTGTTGAAGTACACCCTTAATGGACGCCTGAAGGATGAGCTTAAATTCCAAAGGGCGTTAAAAACAACGTAACCCGAAGCTGATATTAAGGGAGCCTTAGATTAGGTCAAAGGTCAGGTCACCAAAGTTCATCGAAGGACAAATTTTGCCTCTTACGCCACTTGTTGACGAATCGGCGAATAACTTGTGAACCAATAGAGCTACAGCGCCGCCGAAAAGTACACCCAGTAGCTCTTTCAACGTTTTTTTTTTTGTGGGTGTGAAATGCGTCCTCAGATTTGATCTAAGATTAACTAATTGCCCTACAGAGGAGTAAACCCATGAAATAAACGGTTTTACAGAAATTGTTTTCTGCAGCAATTCATTTGATTCAAAACCGACACGACATTTAATGTTCCGGCATCGTGTTCCTCGATTTGAGACGCGTCTAATTAAAAAATAATATGACCGTCAAATGTGATTTTGAAAATCTGACCAAGGGTTATGGTGATGACCCGACCAGAAAGGTCATGTTACAAATTAGTCGATTAGTATTGTCGAGCTGAACACATCTTATGTGTTTTCATCGCTCTAGCTCTATAAAAAGTTACTGTAAAAAAAAACTGAATAGTGGATAGTGGATACATGTCATGACCTGATAGCACGTCTTGGGTATAAATAGAGTCACGGGTGCAATTTTCCCATTCAGTGTGTAATGTTTCTCTGTTATTCAATGTTTGGGGGCGTTAAGTATGAATTTCGTCCAAAAGAACACATTTCAATTTGTTCCCGTTGACTTATGCATAATGTTTGCATTCTTGACCTTACAGGTTACAGATATCAAGCTTCAGAGATACGTATTTATTCATGCTGTTAATCTTATCAATCGCCTAAAATTTGAAAGTGATCACTCAGATAGTGTAGCATTGGCGAACAAACTCTTAATTTTCTGGGATGAGGTCACTTGATGTGGCCTGGTGACCTGACCTTGAGCGACCTGGGTATGAATTTTAACATGTGCAAAAATCTTGGACAAAAGTGGGCAGGGCGCCGCCGTTTTTTTAAGATCTGCGAAATACCGCAGGAGGGGGAGTGGTGTTCATGTTCAAACACCTCAAGCCCGCCGCGGAGTCATCCTGTACTTGTTTCTGTAGTCTGTACGTGTTTCTATTTCTAAGTGTCGTCCTTTCGTGTTTCTCCAGAATATGCCTCCAAAAGCCAAGAACATAAACATTTTCATGGAGCAAACGGTCTTCGAAGTGGAGCTCAGTTGTCATGTACCCACTCAAGTGCGCTCCGTTTTCAAAGAGCTGAAGCAAAGGGCAAAGAGATAGAAGGGCTCAGAGATCAAGCTTCGGGCCGCGCTGAAGTGAACAGAGCTGTAAAAGGTGTGTGTGGCGAGGGAGGGGGGGGGGGGGGTAGGCACGACAGGCGATTATGAACTGCGAAGTCTGACCTATCTGACTGAGAACCATGTTTTGTCACCATCCCAACACGCGTATAGGCCTCGCCATTCTACCGAGAGCGCCACTGTCGAGCTCGTCAGCCGAATCACAGCGAACAGTGACGAGGGCATGGTGACGTGCCTGTCATCATGCGACCTCTCCAAGGCCTTTGACTGTGTTAACCGCGAGGCACTGCTCACAAAGCTCCAGTGGTATGGCATTTCGACGCACTGGTTCGCTGACTACTTCAGCAACCGCACGCAGGCTATAGACGGCGGCCTCAGCCTCCCAGTACCGTTCGGTGTGGTCCAGGGTAGCACGATCGGAGCAATCATGTTCAATCTCTATACAAACGATCTACCGTGTCACCTGTCCCAGCACGCAGCATTCATTTCTTACGCCGACGACTCGCAGATAGTACATAGCGCTCCGCCGACTCTGTCAGGTCTCACTGAGCTGTGTCTCAGAACGGAAACCGACCTGGCTGCACTCTCTGCTTGGTTCTGCTCCAACGGGCTCAAAATCAACCCCAACAAAACGGAACTCATTCTATTCGGAACAACAGCGGCTCTAAAAAAGACCGCTGACTTCTCTATCGACTTTGAAGGCGTACAGCTCACACCTGCTCAAAGCGTCAAAATCCTCGGTGTAATATTTGACAGAGAGCTCAACATGCATCAGCAGACGAGCAGAGTAGTGCAGCGATGCTACGGTGGCTTGATCACCATTAGTAAGATCAGAGACACACTTCCCAAAACAACTGTACTTCATCTCGTGCGCTCACTGGTCTTCCCGCATGTGACATATTGTTTACCGGCCTGGGCACCGCCTACCAAACGCAAACGTCTGCGCATGGAAAAAGTGATCAACCACGCCGCTCGAGTTGTAACCCGAAAGCGTAAATTTGACCATATCTCACAGGCGAAACGTGAGCTCGGCTGGCTGTCATTCGAGCGCACGATTGACTACAGGGACTGTATTCTGGTGCACGCCATGCTACATGAAGCAAACGCGCCAGTCCACCTAAAAAGCCTAGTCTCGATGCGAGCCGACGTGTCAGAGCGTAGCACTAGGGCGACCGCCGCCGATCTTCTCCATGTGCCGCGCGCCCGACTGGAAAGAACGCGTATGGCGACGCCCGTCCGCTCACTGACTGCATGGAACGATCTTGACAAAGGGATGCGCAACTGCGGCAGCGTCTGTACTTTTAAGAAACGAGTCAAGAGTTTTTATCTCAGCAAACAGTAGAATGTCTTTTTAGAATGTCTTTGATCCAGTGTTGTATGACGAAGTTAGTAGTGACTGTATTGTACTGTATAATATGCACTGTGTTTTCATGTAATTTGACGGCAGCCCTGCATTGTATGACGCTGTATAATAACCAGCCAATTGTATATTGGAATCCACAAAGATCTGCTAAATAAATAAATAAATAAATAAATAAATAAGTGTGTGAATAGGGCTAGAGAGAGCTAGCGTCCTACGGCGACCTCGGTGAACACTGAACTGATACGGACTTAAGAGGGAGGAGGGGGGCTGATATGTAGTAGACATGTGCATGGATCCGAGTGATTGATCCATGATCTCAGTGGATCTTAAAGCAAACGACAAGCTTGGATCTATAATCCCATTGTATCCATCCCACGTAGAAAATGTATCCTGAATCTCTGAATCTATGATCTCATTGCATCTTATAACAAACCAAAATCAGGATCTGAGATCCGATTGAATCCCACCACATGCAACCTAATGAAACCATGTTTCCATGCGACTTGTTTTGAATTTTGAATTTGAATTTGCGTTGTTTTAAATTTTCTCCGTGTACAAACTGCGCCACTGGAGCCGCCCATATACTCCATGACACCCACAGGGTGTCATGGAGTATATGGAGCCTGTGGGCTCCCTGTGGGTGTCAACTTGGTGACACCGTTATAAGTGTAAGCAGCGCTGTGACACCTTTAAATTACACCCGTGGGTATGCAGTTTAACACACACCCAGGCGATTATTCCCCCCAGTATCCCTATGGGTGTCAACTTGGTGACACCGTTATAAGCGTTGTGACACCTTTAAATTACACCCGTGGGTATGCAGTTTAACACACACCCAAGCGATTATTCCCCCCAGTATCCCTACAGGTGTTATCTTGGTGACACCATTATAAGTGTAAATAGGGTGTCTGAGGGGAGTCGAAACGCACCCTTGTCTGGGGTGTATGACACCACAGTACAGAAACTGGACACCCTTAGGGATAGTACAATGGTGTATCTTGACGCTCATATAAGTGTTATCTGACACCTTTCAAAAACACCCGTGGGTATGCAGTTTAACCACTTACACCGTTAGCAGTGTTTTAAATTTTCTCCGTGTAGTCATCAATCAACGTTGCTGGCGCTTAGATAATTTTCAATTTGAGGTTCCATCCAACCATTTTACGTTCAGTGCAGCGGGAACTCCAGATTTGACCCGATACCGATCGGATGGTCGGTGGGACCGTCTCTTGTCTTGTCTCTTCCGTCTCTTCGCAATCACTGACATATCTCTACAGGCGTTGTTGTTGTTGTTGTTGTTGTTTCTCCCTCTGCTCCTCATGGGGGCATAGCCAGGCGGCTCTGGAAGCGTCTGGCGGCGGCCGCCAGGGCCGCCACCACTGAGGTCTCCCGGACCTCCTCCAGCCTGGGATGGATGTGACCCAGGGTTGCATGTCTCAGTCGCATCAGCGCCGGACATCTCAGCAGCACGTGTGCCGGCGTGTCAGGCTCCTTATTACACAGGGGGCAGCGGGCCGCCACACAGCCCTCGTCTCGGCAGCCCTCACATCCCACAGAGTGAACGGCACCGATCCTGCGTAGATAGGCCCTAGAGCCCGACCAGTGCCCGGCTCGCAGCTGGTGGACGTCCACCGCTCTCTCCCGGTCCAGCCCCGCCACCGGTGGGGGGAATCGGCCCCCCACCAGCGACCGGAACCAGCCGGGGGGCCAGGCCCGGACCGTGTCGTCGCGGGCGGCCCTAGCCACCGCTCGGGTGATTGTCCTGATGTCTGCAGGCACGCTGTCTTGTGGTAGATCCGCGGCCTCTCGGGCCACCCTGTCGGCTCGCTCATTACCCTCCACACCACAGTGCGAGGGGACCCACTGGACGTGGATCGTCCGGCCATCATTCGAGAGGGCGGACATGGCTCTCCAAGCCGCTACTTCCAGCGGGGAGGTCTGGGCGGCCGGGCCGTTGCGCAGGGTCGCCACCGCTGAGAGGCTATCCGTGCAGACCACGATGGGCAGGTCCTGGTCTCTGTCTTTTTGGGTTAGGGTTTCCATGCCGGTCACCAGCGCTACCATCTCTGCGCGGTAACTGGAGCATAGCTGTCCGGCCGGGGCCCGCAGCTCCTCGGCCTCTTCATCCGGCCAGACCAGCACGGCCCCAGCTCCGCCCCTCGAGACTCCGCCCACCGCTACATGCGTCGGCGTAGAAACCGGCGGGGGACGGGGGTCATGACCTCTCCGAACCAAGGGGTTTCCTTCGAACCAGGGTCCTTCAATCGGTGTTGGCCTAGCAAAAATAGTCACGTGTTAACCTCTCTCTATTTAGAAAGGCGCTACTTGATGTTTGGCCAGGGTAATAGGTTGATACTACTGATTGACATTTGCAAGGGCGCAGTCAAGTTGGGACCACCCCCGCCCCTTACCGCCAAGGTAGGTACCTACGTATATTTTTTAGCTTTTTTTGCAGCCTAACAATATAAAGTGGCCAGAATCCGGGGAGAGAGTAGGATTTGGGGGTAGGTAAGGTTCTGCAGGTGCCATCCTAACAAAAACCTAATGGCATTGGGCCCCCCTTTCAGATGCCCCTGGATCCGCCCTTGCCCCGAACTTTATTCCCCCTCTCGACTTTTCCTGTAAAAGTAACCCTGTATATATATATATATATATATATATATATATATATATATATATATATATATATATATATATATATATATATATATATATATATATATATATATATATATATTGAAAAAAGTTTGTTCAAATAAGCTTACCGATATGTGCAACATATGTTTCGGTTTTTGTTATATCCTTGACAGATCATGACCTGAGGTCACCAATGCTAACCATTACGGTCAATGGGGAAACGATTCAAACTAACATGTTTGGGGTAAAATGAGAACTTATATGCATTGAACATTCATATCGTCTTCATATAATAAAGAGTACGTTATTGGAGGTGTCATGTCATATCAGGTCACACGAGGTCACTGAGGTCAAATACTATTTTTGCATATACCTTGTACAGAAAAGTATGTTCAAAGTGTTGTTTACCCTAGTTGTAAGTGCTATACTGCTTAGTGAAGCATCCAATATCAAGAAAGTCACCTACTATCCCTTTCTTGACCTAGCCTGACCTTGACCTGAGGTCATGCCAATTTCTCTAGCAAAGTATGTCTTGTTGCATATCAATCGAATCACGTAAGTGAGTACAATACTTTGGTATGACTATTTTGTCGTTTAATATTGGAAATGCGATATATACATACACACACACACACACACATATATATATATATATATATATATATATATATATATATATATATATATATATATATATATATATTCTTCTTTGAGACAAGTTTGGTTGAATACGATCGCGTATACGAACGCGATCGCGTATACGAACGCGTCGCAAAACGTAAATCAATATAATGCATGTATGAACATTGGAGATACTTTACACCAGCTGCCAGAAACTGACCGGAAAGTGATAAGAAAGAAAGAAAAGCTTCAAAAGAAAGTGATAAAAAACAAATACGCGATCGTATTCAACCAAACTTGTCTCAAAGAAGATATATTGCCTGCTTATACACATATATATATATATATATATATATATATATATATATATATATATATATATATATATATATATATATATATATATATATATATATAATATATATATATATATATATATATATATATATATATATATATATATATATATATATATATATATATATATATATATATATATATTGTGTGTGTATGTATATATCGCATTTCCAATATTGAACGACAAAATAGTCATACCAAAGTATTGTACTCACTTACGTGATTCGATTGATATGCAACAAGACATACTTTGCTAGAGAAATTGGCATGACCTCAGGTCAAGGTCAGGCTAGGTCAAGAAAGGGATAGTAGGTGACTTTCTTGATATTGGATGCTTCACTAAGCAGTATAGCACTTACAACTAAGGTAAACAACACTTTGAACATACTTTTCTGTACAAGGTATATGCAAAAATAGTATTTGACCTCAGTGACCTCGTGTGACTTGATATGACATGACACCTCCAATAACGTACTCTTTATTATATGAAGACGATATGAATGTTCAATGCATATAAGTTCTCATTTTACCCCAAACATGTTAGTTTGAATCGTTTCCCCATTGACCGTAATGGTTAGCATTGGTGACCTCAGGTCATGATCTGTCAAGGATATAACAAAAACCGAAACATATGTTGCACATATCGGTAAGCTTATTTGAACCTTGAAGTTTGAACATATTTGCTCGAAAACCCTTGCTGTGGTGAGGGAACAAACTTTTTTCATGACCTAAATTTAGGTTGACCTGGTGACCTGACCCAGGGGTGTAACTTTTGCTATTGAGATGGGGGTGCACTTGGTGATGGGGGCGACCTTCAATGAGGGTAGGGGCGCTTCCAAAGAGCATAGATGGTGCATATCTCTCAACAGGAGCGCACACAGGATTTTTGAACGGGGGGGGGGGCACGACCTGCAAACTGGGGCCCTCCAGGCCCATGTCACTCCACTTTTGATGACATCATAAGGGGGCCTCAGGACAATAATGGCGCGGTGCGCCATAATCGCTTCAAAGCTACTTGCAAACAGTTGCCATTTTTTGAAAATATTATTTTGAAATAAAGTTCCAAGCAATAAAAATATTGTAATAAAGTTGTTGTATAAATCGATACCATATCTACAGCATTTTAGGCGCAATTTCAAAAAGTTAAAGACCAAATTCAAAACATTCACGTGCATTTTGAATGTAAACTTTTTGAATTTGGTCTTCAACTTTTTGAAATCGCGCCTAAAAAGGTGTAGAAACTTACTGAAAAATGATTTATTCATAGTAAAAATATAAGCTCGATGCGTTTTTACGTTGCTTTCCTGCAACTGCAGAGGATTTTTAAATCCTCTATATCTTCAAAACTGGCCATTTCTTAGCATATTGTTGCTCTTTTTATCGCTAGAAAATTAGCTGGACTTTCCACTGACATCAACGGTTGAACGATATGTGTAGAGTGTCGCCAACAATCTTCAAATGAAGTTAGTCATTTTTACGTTGTAAAGGAATGGAGTACCCCTTGCGAGCATCAGGGGTGACGTCACTCAGGATCTGTCTCTGATTGGTCGGCGGGGGAGTGACTGTACCTTCTATAGATGCCCTTGGGGCCCTCAATGCCGAACGGCCCCAGGCTCCAGCCGAAAAAGTTCCCCAACGCGATTATATTTCGGTTGACTTGAAACTAAGCTTCTGTCGATACATGATAAAACAATTACTTCAGTACCCGTTCAATTTTCAAAGCATTTAATGTTCCATTTTTGTTTACGCAGCATGTTTCATTCACATACGATTCAGTGAGTAATTGCCAGTAAAACGCCTTTTGGGCGAAGAACGAGCGAGCGAGATAGTGAGCCCTGCACGTGCGGAAGGGCGAGAGGGTACTTCCAACGGGCTTGTGCAAAGCACCCTTCTAACCGGTCGCTAGCGCTGTGCCAAATTTGAACGCAATCGGCCCAGCCGTTCCTGAGATCTGGAAGCGGCATTCTGCACGTGCGCACGTGCAAACGGGGTCCAAAATAACTTTTGCACGGCACCCTACTAAACGGTCCCCAACCGTGTACCAAATTTGAGCGCAATCGGCCCAGCCGTTCTCGAGACCTGGAAACGCCCCCTGCACGTGCGCACGTGCAGTAGCACCCTAACCGCAACACATGGGAATGCATTGCCTGGTGGGTGCCTAACTGTATGCCAAGTTTCAGCGAAATCGCCCCAGTAATTACCGAGTTACTGAAATGGGAACAAATTTGGCACCTCTTCTTTTTGTATTTTGCACGTGCAGTGGGGGTCACTCACATAGATCAAGAGTATCCGACCTTTGGAAGAAGGGATGCAGCTACCCTATAAAAAGTACTGCAAGACAATCCCTCAGGCCGCTGCTGAGATATGGGCCTCTCAAAATCATTACTTTTGCAAAACTGCTTGAACACCCTTGACTTTTCACGTGGCACGTGCCACGACGGTCACTGAGATGTATCAAAAGTAGTCAATTACGGGGAAGAAGGGATGGGGCTACCCAGCAAAAAAGACCGCAGGCCAATCGGTCCAGCGGTTGCTGAGATATAAGCCTCTGAAAAGCGTTACAGGCCGGGCCGCTCATACTGAGATTTTTCCGTTATATTGAAAAGACTTCGCTTCGCTCGCTGCGCTCGCTCGCTCGTAATCACCATCTAAACAATCACGTAAAATATTCGATTAACGAGATAGTGAGCCCTGCACGTGCGGAAGGGCGAGAGGGAACTTCCAACGGGCTTGTTCAAAGCACCCTTCTAACCGGTCGCTAGCGGTGTGCCAAATTTGAACGCAATCGGCCCAGCCGTTCCTGAGATCTGGAAGCGGCATTCTGCACGTGCGCACGTGCAAACGGGGTCCAAAATGACTTTTGCACGGCACCCTACTAACCGGTCGTCAACCGTGTACCAAATTTGAGCGTAATCGGCCCAGCCGTTCTCGGGATCTGGAAACGCCCCCTGCACGTGCGCACGTGCAGTAGCACCCTAACCGCAACACATGGGAATGCATTGCCTGGTGGGTGCCTACCTGTATGCCAAGTTTCAGCGAAGTCGCCCCTGTAATTACCGAGTTACTGAAATGGGAACAAATTTGGCACCTCTTCTTTTTGTATTTTGCTTGTGCAGTGGGGGTCACTCACATAGATCAAGGGTATCCGACCTTTGGTAGAAGGGATGCAGCTACCCTATAAAAATTACCGCAAGACAATCGCTCAAGCCGCTGCTGAGATATGGGCCTCTTTTTTTTTAACTCCGAATAATTGTAATGTGCCATCGATTGTACCTTTTACCGCAACCCTGTCGATACCTATATTAGAAGGCTTGCCTGAGTTACTAATAGTCTTTCATTTAGAGAAAAATATCTATCACTAATCAAAATCGTTAGGTATGCTGGTTCTGTTGCTCACCCCTTGTCTGCAGGCTACAGTATCGGCGCGGCACACGTCTTGGTGATTCCTG